ACATCTACCTCTAAGGCCCGGATTGTGCTATCTTTTTTTTACTTTTTCAAGAAAAACAAAACAATGACAATAGTAATTTGGAATGAAGGACTATTGATAATTTACTTTACTTAAGATGTATATGAAACAGAATTTTAGACAATGTATGGTAATGGAGACGTAAGAGTTGTACATGTACATGTACATGTGATTCATGTAGGTGAAGATTATGTTTAATAAAAATGTGGTTCTCTGAAGCTACATGTACATGTACATGTCGCCATCTTTAATGTGCATTTAAAAAGTTGAGTGTTTAGCACTTATGGAAGGAAAGATTTATCCTTAGTAAGTTTAACATATATTCGACAAAGTAAAACATTCTTCAACTTGTATTTTTTAAATATTTCTTAAGAACCTTTCATCATCTTTCTACATCATGTAATTGCAGAGAGGAACTTCTTTTAAAAACTGGGCTATCTCTTACTAATGCAATTCAGAACATGATATAACATAAGATTATTGATATTGCCTGCGCCAAGTAAATTTGGGAAATTATATTGGAAATGTGATTCCCTCAAGGAAGGAAAAGTCTTTCCTTCTTGCTCCCGTTTATGACGTATATGATTAGCTTCTCCAATCGGGCCAATCAGAACATGGCTCCCCCAGAGGGCTGAAGTTAATGAACAGAATGTTCCACTCCATTACATCCCATCATCTAATCTACAATGTACGTGTACCGGTAATAGCATTACATGTTTAGTGTACTTAGAGTGCTCTCTAAGAAGAAAAGAGTGAAAGTTCCCTCTATTTTCACTACATTTTCACTTTCCAGAGGAGTGACGTCTGTGATCACTCGATTTTTTTTTAGAGAGTAGTGCACCGTGTAGGTTAAAATTAAAGGGGTCAAAAAGTTAAATATCTATATTTTTATTTTTGAGGATACACTGGGCATTGTAGGTTTTTAATACTTTATTCATCACCAATGAATTCCTTGTGTTATGACTGAGTCTTTGAAATATGACACTCTATGGCATCTAATAGATAGATTTCTGAATATACAATTTTTGGAGTAGATTGTACTAAAAGTTGATAAAATTCAGATTGGAAGACTGAGAAGATACCATTGTATTTAAATGGAAAACATATTTATTCGGCCAGACTAATAACCCTGTCATCTTGAAGGACAACAAAAATCATAAATTTTGTGTCATACCTACATGTAGGAGAATCTAGAAGAAGAAAAACCCATTTTTACCAAACCTACGACCTTTATCACCACTGACTATTCCCTTTAAGCATCAAGAAATCACTTTGACATGTACTTGCAGATATCTTTCATTAAGAAAATAATTCAACTTCCATTCCCCTGCCACCCAGAATACTCTTCAAACACTCACCCCTTCGATGGACGGGAAAGGGTAAATATTAGAAAATGACTAAATATAGTCCATAATTTAATCATAGCAATTTATGAGTCAGATCTATATGGTCGGAAATCTACACCAAGCAGAAAGGGATTATCCATCGATCAGGGATTGCAGGCTGCACACCTCGCTACCCCTTTCATACAAAAAAGAGATAAATATTTCTCTGTAGGAAAAAAAAGTGATATGAGGTGATTCTGTACGATGTGTCCCTTACCACGAATGTCATTGATTTCACATATTTCATTAAAATATGAGGAATCTCTCGATATTACCAATGACTAGGTAATAGTTCTTTCTTACATGTATCACTACCATTAGTCATAGTCGCACTGAGAGATTTTTGATTAATATATGGATGAATGTCGTTGTGTAATGTCACATGACACAAAATCAACCTTTGGATATAGAGATGGCGTGATTTTTTGTGTAATAATCCACAGTGACATACAGTAGTCATGTGTTTGAAGTTGAAATAATCTGATGGCAATTATTTGGCTATTGGCTATTGCTCTTTTTTTCTTTCATTTCGTAAAATGTATAGAGGCTTACAATTACAACTTGCTTGTAATGCTGTTTTCCTTTCCCTTTCTATTAAGTCCTATCATATATAACCTAATAGTTCTTGTGTTGTCAGCTGACCTTCAAAATGATGCAAAGCTTCAGGATTTTTCTAAAATGCAGCTCGATTCATTTCAAGACAGGTTTAAAATTCAAGTGTGATTTGGAATCAATATTACTAGGGCAATGCCTAATATTCCAAATATTTGCCTTAAGACTTGTAAAAGTGCATTCAACAAATGGGTTAGGGATCGTTGAGTGAGTTCAGGTGATCGCTCGGGAGGGAGAAAGAGGATCAAATGTAAATGCCCTGTTCACACATAACGTTGTGATCCAACAATCTCCTTCAAATACGGAACCCGAGTGAGGAGTTGATGGTGGCATACATGTAGATGTAGATCCTCCACAATGGATTTTGGCGCTGTACTGTAGATCCTCAAAAGATTGCGAAATGTTATCGGGGTTGTGAATGTACAGTACACGAACATTGCTATTATGTCCATAAGATTTTAGACTGCAGTTCGAAAAATGGTGCTACAATAAAAAGTACACATGTAGTTCTCATGTTTACCCCGCTGCAGTTTTATGGGTGCATGTACTTTCTCTGCATCACAGGGGGGAAATATTTAAAAATTTGGAGGGCTACTTTTCAAGCTTGCTTGAATGAAATTAACACTCTTTAATTTGTTTTGCATTGAACTCTTTGCAAATTTTAGGGGGGCTCTTTTATGACTTTCGGGGTTTCTTTTTGGCATTTTGGGGGCAGATTGGCCCAGAGCCCCAGTGTAATTTCCCCCTGCTGTATCATGTCTGGACATGGCCTACATGTAATGGTGATTTGATTGCAAAGAGGGTTTGAGGGTATTTGATGATGAGATTATCAGCTCCCAGGTGTACCGGTGAGTCAAGTGTGATGAACGGTGGCCTGAGATGTTCTGGGTGAGGACTCTAAGGAGGTAGGATCGTCAGAGGTGGATCTTTGAATTTGGGATGGACAAAGGATGGAGGCAGTGGAGAGGGAGGGGAGGAGGGAGGGAAGGAGGAAGGAAGGGAGGGAGGGAAAGAGAGAGACAGAGAAGAAAATGGGGGGGGGGGGAAGGGACGGGTGAATGGGTGAGAACAACAGAAAGAAAGAGAGAGTCTGATAAAAAGAGAGAGAGAGAGAGAAGAGGGGGGGGGGGGGAAGGGGGCAGGGAAATCAATAGAGATGGGAGGTGGGAAAGAGAAAGAAGAATGAGCATGAAAGAGGCAGAGAAAGGAGTGATCAAATTAAGACAGAAAGATATTAGAATGTGATAAAGAAATATACGGTAGAGTAGAAAGGGAGGAAGAGTTAGAATTTTTCTTTCCCTTTGTATGATACATGTACCGGAGTGTTGGCTCAGTCAGTAGAGCGTCCGCCTCACAACCGGGAGGTCGTGGGTTCGAACCCCGGCCGCGTCATACCAAAAAGACGTTAAAAGATGGGAGTCGTTGCTACCTTGTTTGGCGTTCAACAATAAGGGATAGAGCAACGTTGATCTGGCGCTGCTCAGGGGCTGCCGGGCTCACGATCAATTGGGCAAAAAGAATTTCCGTTTCGGTTTAATAAAATTTGGAGTGGACTATTAGGCTATTATTATTATTATTATTATTATTATTATCAGGTGGGCTGTATCTAATACAGACCACCTTATATTTTTGTTAAAATCGCCTTTATTTAATATTTATTTATTTATTTATTTTTCTTAATTCTACCCACTTTTTTGTTAACAAGATAACTTGAAAATGGCATATGAACAAAGCAAAGTAATGTTTTCAACCCTGACCTTGACTGATGACTCATCTAGGCGCCATTTTGTGAAAATTAACTCATGATCATATCTTCATAACCAAAATTCATTTCTCATTCATATTTATCATGATCAAGGTCAATATCAGTCTGGTCAATTTTAGGTCAAAAAACGTGCGCGTGCGCGTACGTCCGCGCATCGGTGCGCGCGCAAATTTTTTAAATGCTCAAAATCGTCTCAAATTTATTTTGCATACGTTTCAGGTCATTTTAAGCATTTTATAAAAAAATCGCGCGCACGTTTTCGCGCGTTACACCATTACACAACATAGAATCGCCATTTTTTTCTTTCATGATATTTCTTATATTTTTTCGAACAATTTAATACCATGTTCATCTCTTTATGAACATTAATAAAAAGATGAGCGTCAATTCAAGATAAATGTCCGTGCGCGCGAGCTCTTTTAATACATAGCATATATGGGCAAAAACATGCCTATACAAAATCCATTCTAGCTCTTTGGAATGAACCGTGACCTTCAATTTTTTTTCATAGTTAGATAGAGTATGAGTCGGAAATATGATTCCATGCCTGATTTGGCCATTAAGTGTATCGTGACATCATCATAATGGCCTTGGAACTCAAAATACGAATTTGCATATTATGACGTCAGTATATTTATGGGAAATTGATTGTATCTCTGTAAATATTGATCAATTTTCTTCCAAATTTCGATATGTTGTAGCTAAGACAATTCTCTACAAGCTCAGTTATCACCATTTTTCATTTTGATCACGTCATTATAGTGAAAGATACGATTAAAGGGCACATATCAGAAATTTCTTAAGTTGCGTGTTATGCCTATGGAAGGTGAATTTCGTTCACATCATTAATCTACATGACATTGTTTTTTAGCAGTATCTCGCTTTTATTTTTTCTGTATTTTGTGTCAAATTTTAGTTGACCAGCCCACCTATACTTGTTCCAAACAAGTATTATATGTCTAGTTATTATTATTATTATTATTATGAATAAACCTACATTCAGAAAAAAGAGAAAAGATCTGAAAGATGTAAATGATGTACATTAAGGCTAGAGTTTTTCAGATACAGTGTATTCTTTGATTATTCAGCAATTTTGCTTTTGCGATCAAATTATGATATTGATTGAGAGAAGTAGATATTTATTTACAATTTTTCTCAAATATTGACTCTCACATGCATTTCATTTATTTTCTCTTCTCTTCTCATTTTCTTTTTTTCAGTGGTCCTTCCAGCGCTGCTTTTCCGTCTGCCTGGCTTTGATCTGCCCGTGTTTCAGCGAGGTTTCTTCTGCAGCGATGAGACGATATCTTACCCTTACAAAGACTCCACGGTCCCATCCACCGTTCTTTATGCAGTGGGAATCGGTCTCTATCTTGTTATTGTAAGTATAGAATGCAATGTAATTGATGCTACTTTGCCCAGAGCATTATTCATTACAAGACATATGATGGATTTTGTGCTCAAATACCCCATGCAATTTGGATCAGATGACGGATTGTTTGGTAAAGTGTAGGGTTTTTTGTGATATTAAAGAAATTCTAGATGTAATTTAGAGAGCTTACCCTTAGGTTATGATATCCAAAGTTGGGTAAAGGTTCAGGGATGTTCAGGACAAAAGGAAACACTAAACATTTCAGTAACAATTTGGAATCGCTTTTTTCCCCTAAAATTGTCAAATATATATATAATTTTTTGTAAGTACTGGTAATTATTAAGTCCCATTAATTTTGTTCAATCCAGAACCTGAGATATCAAGTATGGTGAATGGAAAATGCCTGTTAAAACTAAAATATCAAACAAAGAAATATACTTCCAGTTATTACTGTAAACTACTGGACCAGTAGTCTTTGTCTTTGAAAATTGTCCTTGAAATATTTTCCAGTGCTTTTGAATAAAGGTTCATTAAACTTTACTGTCAATTTAAGATCTCTATTTTTGATTGATTCAACCTATTTTTTCCTTCTAAATGGAAGCTATAAATGGAACCACCATTTAATGATAACAAAAATATCAAGAACTCTATAAAAGGAACAGGGATGACATTGTCAAACAGGTTGCATTAGAAATGACACTCAATCAATATAATCCATTACAGATATGAAACTTACTAGGATATGTGGTATTTTGTGCCCTCCAGCCCCTTCCTGGTTGATGCCATCCTGTAATAAACCTCAAAATAATGTTATTAACATAAAAATCTTTGTTGACATCATCAGTTGTGCAGCTTTCAGTATGACTAATGACTTTCAATGTACCTGTCTAGTTCATCTAAAGGTTGTCAGTACTACCAAATTTCAATCAAGCTTCTTGCTCATTTGTTGCAAACTTCAATTATAAATGAAGGAGTACTGAATTAAGGATGCAGTAATGAAGAATGTTTCTGTCCATTTAAAGAGGTTATGTTGCCCTTTAATTATGAACCAAAAGCTACAGAGAAGTACTAAATGTGCTGGCACAAAATATTTTTGTTTACCCTACGGACAGTCACAACTTCGCACAACCGATTGTATGAGGTTTACTATAGTTTGCAAATAAATTTCAGGGACCTGTCTTTTAAGCAGCCACTGATTTGAATCAATTTGTAATACAGGGCCCAGGACTCTAGAAATCTTATGTTGCTGCAGGAAAGACTTTGGTGAATAAAAAGAAATAAGAACAATCTTGATTTAAAGGAGGAAGGGAAATGGAAAGAAAAAGGAAGAGAAGATAAAGAGGGGACAAAGAAATAAAGAAAGAAACAGGATTAGAAAGTGAATCATCATTATGCAAGTGCTTGACCTCTCCTATGGAGCCATGGGCGAAAGATTCTTGTCACGTGAATCTTGAAAGTAGATATGTCTGCAGGGCAAGTTGTTTGTGTGTGTTTATGAATGCACATTAGCACTTACATGTACTTCTCTCTCTCTCTTTCTCTCTCTCTTTCTCTCTCTTTTTCTCTCTTTCTCTCTCTTTCTCTCTCTTTTTCTCTTTGTTTCTCTCTTTGTTTCTCTCTCTTTCTCTCTCTGTTTCCCCCCTCTCTCTCTTTCTCTCTCTCTCTGTCTCCCTCTCTCTCTCCCTCTCTCTCTCTCTAACTCACTCACTTCTTCTCAGTCCTTGGCATAGTTAATGACTTCTTGAGATGAAGGGACAAGTGTCGGTCAGCGATGATTCATTGCTGCTACTCCACCATTTCTGAACTTTCTTCACCAAGTTTCTGAACGTAGTGTCCAGAAACTGTTTTGAATTGAAGTACATCTCATTTTGAAAGTCCTATGTAAAACAGTCTTAGCATATTTTCTGCTTTGAGCCAAAACAATTTAAGATTGAGTTCATGCCCTTCTAGCTCTTAAAAGATGAACTAATGTACTATGTGACAAGAACATAAGCTGCTCAGTCAGAAGGGATCATCATTTGAGAAGTACATATCTAGTAACAACCAGAAGGGTGTTAGGTATACGTGTAAAATGGTATCACTCTGAACCTTCCATCTCCCAAGATAATTTTCACACTCTGTGACAGATCATTTACAACTGTTGCTCCCAAACTGTAAAAACATATTTCAAAGCAATCAGCAAGCTCTAAATACTTTCAGAAAATATCTCAAAACCCTTCTCTTTTGTTAATAAAACAATTTTAAAGTACATTTGAACAAGTACATACAAAATGCGCTATATGAATACCTTATTATCAATACTGTCTGGCTGTCAACAGACAATTATGATCTAAGGTAGATGGTGAGATGTCAGCCAGCAATTCAGGCTCTTCAAACTCTTCCTTTTTTGGATTGGGCAAATAAAACTATTCAGATACATTTTCACTCTGTATGATGTCTAGTAAGGGCTGCGTTATAAAATTGATATAAAGATAATCATGCTGATGTAGATAATATCAGGTCAACTTGTCAGCCACAATAATGTTTTGGTGGAAGCACTGGTGGTGAAATAGTGCTATGTTGAGTGCTACTGGGTTAAAGTATTCATCCATAATCCCCTAGTTCTTGTATCAAAGTTTTTTTTAATCAAGGATTATTTCTCTTCCTTTGCCTCCTGTAGATGGTCACAACTGAAATTGTCATCTTTGCCTACCGGAAGCGCCAGGACCTTGACTACCTATCTCCAGACACCTACAACCGATGCTGCGGTGGCGTCGTCATCCCACCCCTCCTCTACCAGATCGTCCGTTACACCGCAGTCTTCTTCTTCGGTCTCCTGGTTACCATGACGACCTTTGACATCACAAAGAATGTAGTCGGTCGCCTGCGACCTCACTTCCTGGATATCTGCCAGCCAGACTTTGACAACCTGACGTGTTCTGAGGGAGCTCATCAAATGTACATCACGGATGATGTGTGCATGCCGGAGGATCCAAAGAGGATGCTAGAAGCAAGGTGAGACCGACGATCAGGATTTTTTAAATATTTTTTGTATTTTTTACATGAATGCCTTTCCTTTTCTTTTGTTGTTGTTGTAATGGCTTTGTCTGGTTTAATTCTGTATATTGATGCTTTGTGTTATTTTAATCTCTGTATTTGTATCTCATTTTTAGTACATTTAACAAACTTTTATGTAAACTTTATTATCTCTGGGAATAACCTTGATAGGCCATAGGCCTTTGTTTTTTCCCACCACATTATGATTTAAATTGAAGATGTTTCATTTTAACGTTTGTTAATGTATATATATGCATATAAATTGTACTTGTGTTTTTTAAAATCAGATGTGGAAATAAAACTATATATATTAAAATGATACTTGGCAGGGATCCTCATCTCTTGCTTCAAATTATGTGAAATATGGTCTTGCCACATCCAATGGATGGTTTCTGTGGACCAAAGCAATATTGCAGTTAGAAAGCTTACGTATTAAAATATTTGTTTACCCTTGTCTGGGAGGATTTGTTTCTTGTGTATTTTTTCCAGAATTCACCTACGCTTGGTTTTAGCACGGCGGAAGCACTGGCAATAACCATTCAAGTGACCGTCAAAGTGTTTCAGTGTGGATAAGTCGTAACAGGAGTATCGTTAGACCATTTTGATTTGCGGACAGGAACTGTCATATTCTACCAGAAAGAAAAAAATACAGGTTCTCATATTTTCATAAATTTCTACTGTCAGTATTTCTGTAGACTAAATATCAAGACTTGCGATTCCCTGTTAGTGATTAATGATTTGTATTTTTTCATAACTCCCTTTTTCAGACGATCCTTCCCATCAGGCCATGCAGCCATTGCGGTATACACCATGCTCTTTGTAGTGGTAAGTATGAAGCAGACCTGAATGAATGTGAATCCTTTGGATTGACTTAAACCTAATAATAATTCATTTTTAATAGAAGAGGGTCCATTCTTACTGTACTATCTATGTTTTACATGCTTTCTTCTGGTCTAAAGCTTTCAACACAATGCACCAGTGGTTATTGGACATAATACCTTCCATTTGCACATTTTACACTGTTCCATGTACAAGCTTATACTTTGAACATCATGTAGCAAACATCTGTTTCAAATCAGTTCTCACTTTTGCGATAGGACATGGCTCGTCTTAATTGTGCTTCCCGATGATGAATAAAGTTACTGGATTATTTCTATGTTTCTGTTTTATTTCTAGTCCAGGGGGCTTTTTCCCCCTAATAACTTGAATCATTATTAGCACAATAAATGATTCCTGTTCCCGTCTTAGTAAACAAGTCAGTGACTCACTCTGGAAGCCTTGAGCAAGTCATCCCCCCTCCTCATAATTTGCAAAGTCTTCTATTTACCCCAGACATAGACCAATCGTTATTGTGTGCCAAGTCATGAAACAGTGTCAGGATTCATTACTATCAGGGTCTCCTTGTTACCTTCCGCTTTTCCGTTGTCTTACCATTTTTTGTTTGTTTTGAGGTACTCTTATTTGAGGAAAGCTGGATTAGAATACCTTGAGCTTAATTATTAGAGGAACTGATGGTCCTGACAAACGCATGAATGTTTGCCTAGAGAACATGGCTTTGAATGGGAGCCTAGTAAGGCTAAACACAAGAGAGGTAGATGGATAGTAATTGTATATGATGTTACTCTTTCCTTTCATCTGTGAGTCATTTCACCAGAGACTAATTGGAAAATTTTCTTGAAAAAGAAGTAAATCTCGCTTTCCAGTGTTTCATGTTGCTACCGAACACAAATTTTCAGATCAGAAAGTTGATTAAGAATTTCAAAATAAGATGGAATGACTAATACAATTACATTTTAGCGCAAAGGACATGATGATTAAAAAACCTAGAATTTATATTTTATCATTATTTAGCTCTGTATTTGCCATGTATCGAGTATTTTATATATGCACACTATGTGTGCTGAAATTTGACTTTGGCAATCCAATGTTGTTCCATTCGTTGCTCAAAGATACTATGTCCCTTTTGCAGCCAACATCAAATTCTGTAGAGCTTTGCAGAAATTATGAATATGTCATGTATGTCCTATCTGTGAAATGTTAACGTTAGCAGTGTCCTAATATTCAAATTATGCAAGGAAACCTGTTTACTTGCTAGACTTCACTGTCAGACACTATTAAGTAACTGACTGGCTTTTTTTCTTCTTTGGTAATAACATACATAAAATGAGCTGTAAAGGGTACATGAGCATTTTTCTACATCAATAACCCACTTCTTGTGATGGCCAAAATTAAACTGATTGAATCTTTGCACAGCATAAAACGTACGACCGTTCGGTACAATGGTCTGAAAATCAGACTATTACTTACTGGCTCTATACATGTAGCTCTTAAGTCGATTCGACATCTAATAGTCGATGTTTTCCCACTTAAAGACATTTTCAAACCCCCCCCCCCTTTTTTTTAGGGAAGTTCTAAATTAGTATTATCTTTCAAATGCCATTGGAATTTAACCTTTTCATTTTTTGGCCTGCAAATGGGACCAGTAAAGAGTTAAGTACACTGGATTTAGTTTGAGTAAAGATTCATGTATCTTTTTTATTATTGTGTATCGCCCCATGCAATTAATGGTATAACAATACATTCATCTTGGTTTTGTGTTGTAATTGGATTTTAGAATTCACAACAATTTTGAAAAGAAAATAAAGTGATAGATATCAACCATACAAAACCATAATTATTTTTAAAGTAAAAACAACTCCTCCGCAAAATCCAGGAAAGACATAAACAATGAGATCTGTAGATTGTATTACACCAAAGGGTCTTTCTTCCACCATTTTTATACCACTATTGACAAAATAAGTGCATAATGAATTCATCGACCATGACCAGTCAATCTAGTGGCCTAATTTCTGTTGCATTTCACCCTGAACTGATTTTAATGGATTGACCATTCATTGAGTAATATCTGGAAAACTCATTAAGATATTTCAGTTATAATGGAAGGATATTGTGCATTATTATATGTGAGTTGGATATTCATTTAGGCTTGGATGTGGTCAATCAACCAATCTTTCTTTAAAATATATTGCAGTACCACATACAAAGCTGCTATGATTGATGTAATAATCTGTTCATTTGTAAGTTTTATTTATGTGGATGCCTTTCTCAAAATTTCAGCAAACTGTTCCAGCTAAGGGTCATAGGCATAAAATACACAATAGAAGTATATTAGGAGAGAGAAAATGAATGTGACAGAGAATTAAAACAAACAGAAAGATATGAGACAGAAAAACAGGAAACATTAGGTAGAACAAATGTGAAGAACAAAACAAAAATTTGATCAGAGAGAATATTGATGCCGTCTGTAGAATAAGCTAAGGTAGGCTTGAATATAAAATTATATTCCAATATAAAATTGGAAAAAAATCTTAATCGGTCGGTTCATTCCTCAGCTCCATCTGTATTTTAAAATTCCTGACTACAGCTGAAAAATACACATAAAATAATTTTTTTAAAGGACTATATAGGGTTGGTGTGATAGAAAAACAAGTCCAATATACACAACAAACCAGGTTTTCCACTGTAAACAAATTTCATTGATATTACTGCCGAGAGACATGGTTCAAGTATTTTTATGTGGGAGTGAAAAGATAGATTAAAAATATAAATACTTGACGAAAGTGCTTTAAGAAAAATAGCCATTATCTAACTTGTATTGATTTTTTTTGTCAAACATTGTGCACCGGTAATTGGATGATATGCACCAGAAGACAGTACCTCTTTCTATTTTTAAAAAAGTGTAGTTGTTTGTAACAGGTAATTTTCAGAAGAACATGAAAACAAAATATATTTCTATACTTCGGTAGCCTGTAAACAACAGGCCATGATTTATGAAGTATTAAAAGTATTTTATACAGCATATTGTAGTAATAATCTAAATAACTACAATTCTAAGTTTGAAGAAAAAAAAGTTGTTATTGTTGTCAACTAGTATATGAAAAGCCTTTAATTTACATTTCATACTATTCTGTACCATATGATGTAAAAAGATAGGAGGAAATGAAGATTGCGGCTTTATATGTATATGTACATGGATAATAGCTTTAAATCTTTCCTGAACCCATATTTGCCTCACACATGTAGTAACAGATGTTTAATCAAACCTTTTTGTTCACCATCATCAAATAGTTGTCCCTTTTGTATCTTGCTATATTTTATGTATCTCCCTTTTCTCTCCTCTTACCCTATTCTGTTTTTCGCTTTATTTCCACTCTAATAGTTGTCCTTTTAAAAGGGGACCCGCACTTCTGACCCTGGGAAAGAATATCAAATTTAGCAGAGCAGAGCAGAGCAGTTGGGCTTGGCTATTCAATTAATGCTATTTTGATAATAGTCCCCTTTTGACGGTCCCACAAAGTGTTCAAACATCTGTCAACAATTTGAAAATTAAAGAAAAATGACTTATAATGTTTTTTTCACCTCACTTACCATTAATTGATATACAAAATAGTTATTATTTTGCTGTGGTTGTTTTTAAAAGGAAACTACCATGTCATAAGTTTAACTGATGTCAAAGTGCTGACTAGTCTTGGGCTTATGAGTGTGCCTTGGTAAGTTGGTAAAGTTTCTGAGACTTCAAAGGGATCATGCAAGGTCAAGAAAGTAACCAGCTAAATTCTACCTTTGGTTTTTGAGATTATGCTGCACTTCCTCGCTGTAAGGCCATGATTTTGATGTTGTTGGCAGGAGAGAGTTAACAGGCTTTAAACCTGCCCCCTGGTGGAATTACACTTGCTTCTTGAAGTTTCACACGTTCTTAATTTAGTGTGACATTATTAGGTACTGTTGATTTAGTACCTTTGCAAACTTTTTGACAACTGATTGGCAACGATTTTGACAATATCTTGCACTTGTGAGATATTGATCAAATTTTCCCTTTATCTGTCATAGATACCCGGTATTGGCCTTGATGTATTATTAGTCCACAGGTGTTTCTAAGATAATAGTTAAATTTTATTAAAAGGTATCACTGTGAAAGTAATTGAAGTTCTTGGCCTTGATCTACATGTATTTTAGTATATAAGTCTTTATTATAAGTTCTAAGACAATAATTAGGCTTTAACTGTAAACAAATAGACTTAAATTCCTGTAATACCCCATTGAGCTGCAAAAAGTCATTCTTAACTTGTTGAATTTGCATTATTTTGTTTTGTGATCACTAAATATAGCAGAACAGAAGTTTCAATGAAGAGGTGAATCTCAAAAAGGAAACAATTATTAATTGTAAATAAAAGAAAAAGGAAGATTAGGAGGTATTCCTATTTTCCCAATATTGAACAGTGAGTAAACCATATTCATCCAATCAACTTAAGACGGAGAGACCCATAGCTCTGTTACTTGCAGTCCTAGAAAGAGAAAAAAAAGTTCATATGGTTTGAATTGTCATTGATTTCAGTTGCTGCAAGTATAATCTTAAAATAAACTGGTCCTTCATAATAGCAGATGTTGTCAGCTGCACCAAGTTGCCAATTTGACAGATGTCACAGCTAACTGGGAGGTAGTGATTCACAACGATGTGGTTTCCTGTGTATGGTCATGGATTGGCGAGGGGAAACGTTGATTGTCGCAAAAAATAGCACAACTCAACACCAGCCCCCCCCCCCCCCATTAACCCTCCCCCGAACCACTAAGAAAAAAAGTGTGATTGTCACAAACAATAAATGAATAACTGATATGCAACATTGACCCCAACCCCTTCTTTTACCCTGCTCCTTTACCCCTCTCCCAAATCATTCCAGAGAAAGGTTGATTGACACAAAAATAGCACCACACAACACTGACTGCACCCTCTCCTTTATCCCTCTCCCATACAACCACCAAACACT